AGTCTGGACAGGGACTCGGCGAGTGGAGATCCACTCGGCGAGTTGGGTCAACTAAAAGTTGACTTCGAATTGACTTAGGGCTAGACCAGGGGTAAAATGGTCTTTTTACCCAAAGGACAGTTAGCAGTATATGATTAAGTATATTGTGGGAATTACAGCCGGGGAGTTTCCGGAGCAGTAACAGCAGTAGTAGGTGATCAATTCCCACACACACCAGCAGCTATTTCGAGGTGAGTTTCCTTCCAGTAGTAACGGGTCTAAGGCACCAAGGCCGGCCCGTATAGATGAAACGTTAGTATTATAGTGTGGGCCGAGCCCGTATCTATTAGTTGAGTTGATTATGATATATGCCAGTATGATAGAATTGTTTACACTTGTTGTCTGTGCGATACTTGTATGATATGAGTTGGCGGTTGAGTGTGGGCGAGGCCCGTATCTCTCCGAGAATGGAGTTGGGCTAGGCCCGTATCTCCCAGATAGCGAAGTGTGGGCGGGGCCCGTATCTTCACGAGTGTGGGCGGGCCCGTATCTCTCAGAAAGTGAGGTGTGGGCGGGGCCCGTATCTTCACGAGTGTGGGCGGGCCCGTATCTCCTAATTGCATGTTATTTGTTAAATGCTTGTATGGTATGGGATATTATGGGGAGCTCACTAAGCTTTGTGCTTACGGTTTCAGTTTTGGTTTCAGGTACCTCCTGCTAGGGGAAAGGAGCCGGCGCGGTAGCAGCATGTCACACACACCCTCTTCGGTTTCCGCATTTACGAGCTTTTCTGGATTGATACTCTGATATTCTGATTAGTTGTATGTTTTGGTTTTCGGACATGGTTCAGTTTTATTATGGATGATCGAATGATGTTTTAGTATTAATATTTTCTAAAGTAACGTTTTTAAACAAAAAAAATTTTGATGTGAAAATTGGGTCGTTACAAGTTGGTATCAGAGCCCTGGTTTGAGGGATTCGGACACGCCTTCGGAGTGTCTGAACTCAAATCGAGGGATTGAAAGAATTTCTAAAAAAAATGTTCTCTAAAACTTGGAAAAGAGTCATAAGAAAGAGCAATGTGTGTGACGTGCGCGACCGGCCGAGCTCAAGTAAGTATTCCCCATAGTACCCATACAAGTTTATGTTATGTTTATCAGCTTTCGTAGAACCGCATGCTAGAATAGGACTAAGGATCTAGGAGTGATGCCTTATGTGCCTACTATTTGTGTTTCAGTTGTTGAGAAATTGCATGCTAGTTACGGAGTAGACAGTAAGTAGGATAGCCTGAATAGGTTATGCCTGGTAGTATGAGCTTAGCACTATATGCTAGCTCAGTTCCTGACAGTGGATAGAGTTAAGTGAGACTGTTACCCTTGTCTGAATGCTGCTTGCTTCGTGCTTCGTGGACTCTGAATAATGGAGTTAGCCATTAGTCGAATGCGTCACATCACATGTAATCAGGATTGGATAATCTTAGAGTGCCGAATTTGATCCCACTGCGTAGCTCTTGTTTGAGTCCAACCGTTGTGGGGACGAGTCCGGTACTCGAAGGATTATCTGAGCCTCGTCACGTGTGATGGCATTCGAGTAATGGCCAATTGGCATTATAATGAGGCCTGCAGCAGCTGAGGACTGGTTAGAGTAGAATTAGAGATCTCCCTAGGGCAAGCCTAGGATGAGTATAGCTTTGATCAGCAGTAGAGTGAAGGGGATCTGGTGGAGTCGAGGATTCCTTGGAGAAGGTACGGATAGATGTGGAAGGTAGTATGGCCCGTACTACTGAAAGCAGAGGATCCGTACCCGAACCAAGGAAGGCCAAGATGAGACAGGGAACCTGTAAGTAGTTGAGATCCCTCAGAAAGTAGCAGTATCACTAATGATTATTATGATGTTTTGCAGAATGTGGTGACTTCGACCGAGACCGACAGATGGCGGTTCAGGAGAGGGGTCAGGTTCGGGATCAGGCTCCGAGCCGATTGACGAGAGGCTACACGTGAGTTCATCACGTCGGAGATCACCAGGGGCATCCTTGAGTCGACCCCCATTCTCTTTGGGTCGATCAAGGAAGGGATCATAGAGTTGATGGAGGATCGCCTACGGGCATTCAGGAGCGATTTAGCCTCTAGCCAGTCAGGATCTCGCACACTGTCCTTCAAGGACTTCAGGGGTAGTGGTGCGCCAGATTTCCATGG